TATATATATATATATGTATCTGTATATCTGTATTTTAACAACATCTAACATTGCTGCATACTTTCGGATCGACGATTCGAAAAAGTAACAAAAGTGTATGTATTGCTGCATACTTTCGGATCGACGATTCGAAAAAGTAACAAAAGTGTATGTACACTGCGCATGACTGGACTACACAGGCAAACTCCTCGGTGTGTTATTCATTTGCATCTACTAGGCCAAAATATATAGGCTAGTATAGGCCTACGTGTTTGCAAAACTGGGAAAAAAAAAAAGATTTAAAATGTATGGCTCGCTGGCTCGCATGACTCGCGCATTGGCTCGCATGACTCGCTGGCTCGCACTTTGGCACTACTCCAAATTCAGGCCTCGGCGATGGACATCATTGTGATTGGTGGTTTGAAGTCACTGTGCTGTGGCTAGCGTAGTGGAATCTAAATGTTAAATTTCAAAAACCCTTTCACGACGTTCACCGACCCTCTCTTTCTACCAAATATACGAGGAGTGGATTTAGAAGGGGGTATGGTAGATTGGTCCTGTCACTGAAAAAAAACCCTCGAAGCCTCTGCTATCAACAAAAGCCAAATACTGTACATCATGATCTTAAACTCTTATATAGGATGATGTCTGTAAATCAGGTTTCATGCGATTTACATCATTGTGATTGGTGGTTTGAAACCACTGTGCTGTGGCTAGCGAGCGGAATCTATATGTTAAATTTCAAAATCCCTTTCACGTCGTTCACCCACCCACCCTCTCTTTCTACCATATGAGGCGTGGAGGCGGTATGAGTTATGAATATGAAATTAAATTTTCTCTCAATGTGAGGTAATGTATGTCCGTGTACATTGCTAAGTCTTTCCTTACTGTTATTCCAATGTTCACTAACCGCGAATGCTCTACTATCAATTAAACACAAGTACATGCCGATCTTAAACTCTTATATAGGGTGATGTATGCAAATTAAGGCTTCAGCTAGGGACATCATTGTGATTGTCTAGATAAGCATATGCGTGTCTGTAAAGGCTTAGGAATTGTTCTTTCCGCCAAAACCTATTGCGGACGTAATATTTCCAAGTCTGCTGTGCAGCAAAAGTAAATTTCAGCGGACTGATTTTGGCTTATGTGGACTACATTTGGCAAGTAATTATGAGGCCAAAATCAGTCCGCCGGACCGATTTTTGTCCCGGACCAAATTTTTCCTGACAGACCAACCCTCCCCCCCTTGTCAAATATTCTGGGGATATATCCCCCCCCCCGGATCTACGCCTATGGTTCATGTAACATTTGCATATTGTTAGCTAACCCAGTTGTGTGTATTCCTTTGTGAAAATGAGTACCGCGGCGTACTCATTTTCACAAAGCATTGCATCCCCTCTTAGAAAGAGGGAATTTCGAAATAATTGTCTCCATCTTCGCTAATTAATCACCGTAGTTTAGCTTACGCTTATGCATGGAGGAAGCACTTAAAATGTACGATAATCATTTTACTACCCGACAAACCCCGAACTTTATTCATGCATTACATAAATAGTTGCTGTACTCCAACACCACTGGCGCGTGGTAACAACCAACCGACTGCAGATCATTTCCGGTCACACATTACGCAGCACCCCCTAGTTCCGTCACCTCTGGATGAGGGATTCTTTTAGCACCAAAGCTGTTATTTTATGGAATAGAGAGAACGCCATAAATCATTTTAAATCTAAATTTGAAGATTTATGGGCCAACCACCCACTTAAATTTTCGCCATTTACAAGAGTCGATTTTTTAGTTAAGAACTGCTTATAGGATTTACCGCCTCAATTCCGAATTCCAGCAGAGATGTTGTGTTCCAGGAAACAAGTAAACAAAGGTCATTCTTCTTTGTTAATGGCAATGCCAGGGACACCTATGTGGAGTGTTCACAGCTTCATTAGCTAAATCCTAAAAATTAATTAAAATCTATTTCTGTCACAAAAAAAAACGTAGCAAAGTAAAGTAATTTTTCCACATATGCATATATGTAAGGCAGGGTCTTTGGTCAGGTTCACACTAGTATCCGGATCGGGAGCACCGTTAGCGCTGCCGCTAGCAACCGTCTGAGAACCCGCCATCGGTTAACGCTAACCGTTTAACCAGGATACGGATAAGCTAACGGTTAGCGAGCGCGTGTGTAAAAATGGGCAGTTACGCCCCTTTTTCCCCCAGTTTTTAAATATTAAAAAATCTGTATCTCATTCACCGTTCCCCAGTTTTTCGTCAAACAACTTTTTTTTTGTCTTAGAAAAATCAGTTCTACAACATATCAAAAAATTTCTTTCCTCCGGAGCCTGACTTTAAGAAGGCAAGGTGTTGCAAAGTATCTATTTGGTGACTGAGCACTCATCGTTCGTTACGCTGCAACGGGCAGCGCACGTGCGTTAGCGAACTTGTTCGCAACTTGTCTGTAAAATGAGACAATCCAGCGTTCCAACTTCTATAAAACCTTAATTACCAGTGTTTCGGTATGTTCTAATTATTATGAACCGTATTGTTTGTTTTAGTAATATATCTTGACCTGAATAACCTTGAACATATTTTGTCTAATTAAGTGTTAATAGGCTTTAAAGTTTGGACTTTTACCTAGGCCAACTGACGTTGTTCAGGCTGCCGTTCACGCTGATTCGTACAGCGAGGGGTTCCCTCGTTTGACAAGTTTAATTCACGTGACTCATACGGTACTTGTTTATTAGGCCTACCTGAGACGACCATTGCTCAGGAGAGTACGTATTGTTACTATTTCATACGCTATTAAGTTAAAGATCCATTTGCTAGGCCTATTATGTCTTTTATTACTATGTGGATATTGTTTAATACTATTTTATTGTTTCTGGTTTATTACAGTGATAAATGAACACAAACACATCACCATAAACTACCACCACTTAGCTACTACAGTATAGTGTAACCGACGCCACGCACCGCATTACGCATTACGTAGTACAGTACGCTACTATTCTACATGAACTCCGTTCAATATCACTCATCTACTGAATTGCTATGGCTTGAGCAAATACGTTCACATGATAAAGTGTTAATCTCATCTGCAATAATAAACTACCATTGTGTCAACCTGAAACAGTTGTGTACAGTCTGTCATTCTACCGTTGTCCGAACCACTATAACAGCACATAAGGCGGAGAAATAATATCCCTCCCCCACCCCCCTTTCTGACACAAGGGTTAGCGCTTTTGTTTGTAATCTGGATCCTGCTAACTGATTGCTGCCTTGTATGGATCTTACCATAATGGTGTCCTGGGATTTGTTGTCAAAGGTCGTTTTTAACGTAGTTGCTACCATGTAATGTAATATAATATTGTTATGTAACTGGTGTAATAATTATTACTGTCTTCTGTCATCAATACTTCTTGTATTGTTAATACAATAGTTTTCTTCTGATCATTTTGTTACTAATTGATATATAACACAATTAGCACACATTCTTTGTCACCGACACCAGTAGTAAGATACGTCTTCAATTAATTTCAGCCAACACACAAACATACTTTAACTTCAAATTCTGAGTTTATTTCAGTTCTCAGCAATCCACATACACATACAGACATTTACGACACCAGACCGGAAGTAAGACAAACTTCAGTCTTGAGGAGCTGCACCAAACTTAACTAAATTTAGATTTCCCTCACATATTATACAATCTTTGGTATGTGAACCAATCACAAACAGTCCTATATTCACATGATCTAATGAACGAATCATCTAATATCAATAATTTCCTTACAGTGACATAGCATAGCCAATCACAAGCAAGCTAGTATAATCTCCTTAATAAATCAATTGTATAGTAACATTAACCTAACACTTCCTTCAGTGACACACCCTGAGTTATAATAATTGTAATCAACTTTGTAGAATAAATTCTACAATAATAATGTCAATAGTAGCTTAAAATGACTTCAGATATGGAATAATAATTCAGATATGGAATACAGTACTACATTACAGTCGTTCTTCTTTTAAATAGCAACATTTAAAAACGTTACTAGTGGCAACCAACTGGAGTCAGTGGACGAGTTGGTATCATTAAGGTCAAAATCTAAAACATTGATTGAAGTTTGCTTCTGCCATAATTAACTTCAATTCAATATACATTTATCCAATTTATGAATCATGAACATAACATAAATCATTAAATTTCAATAAGACTCCATTTATAAGGATCAAGTTATAGAAGCAGTTTAGCTTGTCTCAATTGAACCTTACGAAAAACTACAAAATAAAGTAATAAAAAACACAATTATTATACCGGTATCATACGTACATACCACCTACCCACCCCACACTTACCCACACACATACACAAAAAGAGTACTTGCAGCATAATCGGGTGCTTTATATATATACAGATACATACATATACGCACACATGTACGTGCACACATACACATATATACACACATACATGAATTTTATTTATATAATATACACATATACACGTATATATATATATATATATATATATATGTATATATATATATATATATATGTGTGTGTGTGTGTATGTATGTATGTATATGCATACATACATACATACACACATGCATATATACACACATACATACACACACATATACGCACACACGTGACACATATGCAAAACACTAATATACACACACATACACATAAATTAACCAATTAGCATAGCACAGTCTAGTCCTTTGAGCTAAGCCATTGGATATAAAGTCAAATTTACAAGGAATCTGACTGGGTTCATGTTCTATTGAACATATTTTCTAGTCATTACTATTATCATCATTATTATATTTAATCATTATTATTTCATTTGTCATTATTTTTATCATAATATTTATTTCTATGCTTTTAACCAGTATTATTTATGATATTTTTCGTATTATTATTACTATTATTATGTTGAGTTGAATAATTAAAATCGTAAATTATGCTCCTGATGTAGTAATTTTTATGTCTACCTTTATACCAGAGAGAGATCCGAATGTTGAGTGTCCCGAGGGTTTTTATGGCCCACAGTGCACCAAACCTTGTCACTGTGAAAACTCGTCGACATGTGATCGAAATAGCGGAAGTTGTCCTGACGGTGATCTTTGTGAGGACGGATGGGGAGGAGTAGGATGCCAACAAGGTTAGACAGTTGTTGCAATAACATAATTATTATGTCAATTATTCAGTTTATTAGAATTTCAGGTTGAAAATATCATTTATTTAAAATAAGTTAGATAATTCCGTTTATCAAAAACAAAAGTAAATAATGTTATGCAGGTCACACATGCTTTTAACACTGTGTGTAGTGCATGCTCTGAAGCCATGGTCGGTGAATTACAATATACATTTGCAAACATACAAAGATCATTATAAAATGCCTGTTTTTTATGCTCTCATTGACCATTTTAGAAGACAGACAGAACTCGTTGATGAATGATAGATAGAATGAATGATGAATGATGATGATGAATGATAGTAGGCCTACCGTTTAAAAAAATATTCAAAAATCAACATATGTTAGCATTGGCTATATTAATCAATATACACGCCTAAGCATCATATACCATTATACTATAAGGCATGAAAACAGCTGTTCTTCTCGTCGTAGATGGGTTTGGAAATCTAGCTACAATAACGCTGTATTAGGACCCTACAGAGGGGCACTCACTGCGGCCGACGTTCGTCGGCAGACGCGACTCTATAAAAAAAAAAAAAAAAACGCAACGCGTGGACGTGCGCGCAACTGATCGTTTTTAATGACGATTTGTTCAGACTACCAACGACAATTAACAGACACCTTCTTCACCTAGTAGGAGTTCAATCACTTTTTCTTTCCCTACATGGGTTATTCGATATTATCTTTATACGAAAACGAGGATAGTAATAATGCAAACAATGTCTAGAATCATCCCGATCCAATGCTTTTGATGGCCTGTCGGTGAGGGAGGGATGCACCTGGCATGTCATCGCAAATTTAGAGCGTCTACGAACCAATGCGCACGTCATTTTAAAAATGGGGTATTATGTACCTAATTCAGTTCTCAAATTATATAAAAAAACAGTAAACTTCTCATTTAACCTGCAATGTAAAGCTGAGTTCAGGCCCGTAGCCAGATAATGTCAAGGGGGG